TCATACTGGTTCACTCCTCTGAAGGATGTGGCTTTGTCTATTTTAACCTTGACAATGCCAAACCCAGATCTCATCACTTCAGGAAACCCTGCCCTTGAGTCCATAATCTTCTACATACAACTGCATTCCTCTGTGATGTTTTGGTTTGTCACGATCTCTAACAGCATATGAAAGGTACAGCATATCAAAGATTTACTCTCACTCCTTTGTTTGCTACATATTTGGTGGTAATTAGGTGCTCCATTTGTAGAAGTCCTTATGCAAAGCCTCTCTGCTGGAGCAGGATTACATAAGATTTATATCTGTCCTTGTGCAAAGTGCAGAAATCTCCAAGGTCTCCACATTAAATCGCAGAGTCTTAACCTTGGATCCCATCCCACTTTCCAACCCTGTGATTTTTTTTCTCGTGATGCAGGATGAATGCTGTAGTCATCTCTGAGAAGTCAAAAGGAAGGTCTGATGCTCATTTACACTGACCGTGGCAGAGGCAGGGGGCTTTGCATACAAATATGAATCAGACCCAAACAAATTGATAGTTTGATTATAGTGATGCAGGGGAAAGAAATCTTGGATTTTCCTTTTTTTTTTTTTAAAAAAAAGTTATGATTTATACATACAAAAGAAAGATCCTAAAGCCTAAAAATAAATGAAGACTCATAGAAGAAAAAATATGGTCTGAAAGTCTCCATATCAGAGGAAACATTTCAAAAAACAAAACAGATGACTGACATAGTGAGATTCGGTTCTTCTGGAGATGTAAGAAAACTTCTTTTTTCAAAAGCTGGAAGAGTGACAACAAAGATAAAATGCATATGGGATTTTGCACCTCCACAACAAAATCAGCCGCAGAAATTGTGTCATGGGAATACAGCGTGGGACAGAACTGAAGTTTCAGCTTGCAGATGCCAAGTACATTAAGAAATCTCACAAGGAGCAAAGACAAAAAAATAAGCAGTTTGAAATGCCATTTGCAAGGTGCTTGGTTTCTCTGTAATGCAAATAGTCATATAAAATATGCAGGAATGTGGATTTCTTCAGTTTGAATGGGAAGAGGAAATTGATTTACAAATTCTGAATGGAATAGAAACCTTAGAGCAAGAGTAGAGACAAAGCAACTCCTTGCATGGCATGGAGTAAATATGGCATGTAACTGCCTCTTCTTGTGGGAACTGCTTTGACTTTTGTGCTGTTACAACATAATCAAGGTGCTCTCTAGTGTAATTGAATACCAGGGATTTTATTCTTTAGTGATCCTCAGATTAGTATAATCTTCTTCTTGATTTTTCTTGGGCAACTGGCCTTTCAGGACTTTCAGTGGTGCGCCTTCAAAGAGCCCTTTATGTTTGCGGAGGGGTGGAAGCCAGCTCTGCGCAAGGTGTACTCTGCCTGGCCGCTGGTAGTGTGGTGGCTTTACATGGACATTAACATCAGGCTTTCGAGAAGTCTCAACGCTCAAGCTTGCAGGGAAGCTTCTAGGTTGTGCAGGGGCTGGGAAGCAAAGGATTTTCTCATGTGTGATCTTGGTCCCCAGCTGTATCTGTGGGGCCAAGCAGAAAGAAAATCTGTGTCTCACTTGGTGGAAAAACGGGGGAAGGCTGAGCAAGCCAAAACACACAGAATTCCCATGGCCTGGTGTGGGAGCAGCTGTGCAGGTAAGAATGAGGAGCTCTGCTAGGAAACACCAAGCAGACTATGCTACACAAAAACAGTTAGTTCATAGTATAGAGACCTGAAATATGCCCTGTTGATTCTGGGATAGGTTCTTAAGAAAGCTTTGTTCTTTACTTCCAAGGGTCTTTCTGCCTGTTTGGACAGTTGCCTTTCTGCTTGCTGAGCTTTTCTGTAAGAAGAAATGAAGCACTTTTTCCTTCTTAAATTATTCACATAGATGCACTGCCATTTCAGGCACAATCCGTTTGTGTAAGGAGGGCATAATCTTTTGTTGTTTCCATGGACTTGTGCTTTTAAAATAATTTAAGGATGAAATATGTTATGGAATAATTCTGAGGATGAGTCTCCATGGGAAAGCTGCATTAGATCATCAAGCCCACTGCCTTGCAGCTCCAGGCTGGTCCCCACAGGGAAGATGTATGAGATGATAAACTTATTTCACACTGGATGTTAGTGAAAAGGCCAAGAAATTGTTTTTCTCCTAGTTAAACCTACAGAAAGCACATTCATGTCAAGGACACTAACATGCAAGTACAGATTTCCATAATAATGTAAGAAAGTGAAAGGAAAAAAGAAGAGGATTTTTACTCTTTGTAGTTAAGCAGGATTGCATTAATTCCTTTTGTGTATCCCAGCGGCTACAAACCAAAATGAAAAATATATCCAGAGGCAGATAATGTCCTCCTTCCTCTCACAGTGAGAGAAGAGTAAGCTACATACTGTAGGACTGTTCTCTTTCCTAACTGGAACTGATCCATTCAGTGCCACCCAGGTCAGGCTGCTGTTTCAGGCATGCTGCCCAAGGCCCAGCTGATCTCTGCTGTGAAACCCCTGAAGGATTTGATGACAACGACACAGACAGCCTGGCCTCCTCCTTCTGCTCCTGACTTCCGCTCCCATGACAGAGGAGGAATATTCACATTTACCGGGCCCAGCTTAGGGCAGCCCAGCCTTGCGGTGCCTATTGTGGCCACAGAAGGCAAGGCCCTGCGGAAGAATCTCGAGGGCAAAACACCTGATTTTCTCTGGAACTGTCCTAGAAATGTCATCTGGGACCTTGAAGAGGTCAAACAAATCATAGACTGGGACTCCATGCAGATAGGTGCGAAGAGGAGAGCGTAGATGTAAAAGCCATGAGGAAGAAGGGTTGGTGGCAGCAGAGGAAATATCCATCTAGTGAGTGCAAGTTTAAATATTCTAGACAATTCCCTGCAACTACTTTAGGATTTTTCCTCCAGCCTTCGAAAGATCACTTCAAAGCAAAAGAAGTCCCTAGGTAGGCGTTCCTCTCTCTCAAGATTCTGTCTCAGTTAAGAGCCCTGTCTGAGCAGCTCCAGTTGTGTCTTTCTTCAGTTTTTAGTATTGTCCTGTGTCGACCCTGTCAGGCCCACTGCGGGTGCTACACAAACAGAGCAGAAAAGCAGTAAAGGAGATAAATTCCCAACCAAGTTTTCTGAAACATACCATATTGTGAAGAGGCATAAAGTACCTCCTTTCTGCGCTAACAAGTTATTTAAAAAAGAAAGCGCTCTGGTGGAAGCAGATATAAACGGCACTTTCTGACTCTCTCACTTGTTACCACAGAGATTCCTGCATTTATGTGGGACATCTGTCACAAGGAGTGAAAAAAATACTTTAAGCGAAGAACAGCCCAGGAACAAATTCATGTCTCAAAATCTAAACCCAAACTTTCTTTAAATTGTCATTCAGCAAAAAATAACAGCTAGGATTAGCAAAACAAAACATATTCAGATTGGAAATAATCAGACCAGAACAAGTCCAACGAGGGAAGAGAACATGTGGTACTCACAGCTCACAGAACAGGTTTAAGTTGCTGGAAGGACAGCAGGGAAGTGATCAACCAGGTCGGAAATGTGATTTCCTTTGCAAATGATTTCTAAGTGAGTGGAGATGCGACCAGCACATTGTGTTATGCAGAAGGCAGTAGCCAGAAGCAGCAAAAAAAAATTAACAACTAGCCAGAAGCAGCAGAAAATAATTTAACAATGCCAAGTAAGCTAATTAGCAGATGCTATCAGGACAGTGCAACAGAGTGATAAGGTGTGACTAAAGACATCTTTAAGCCTCTTCCAGGCCGCTCCCTTCTGGAGAAGCAGCTAGGAATGCACGGGTGGTTTCATCACATCCTCACGGTGGGCAGCCGACTGGAGTCAAAACTGGCTGCAACCCGCTCAGCTTTTCCAGGAGATGGAGCGGGAGAAGATACCCTCTTCCTCTCCCATCCTTGCCTCACGCCTGTTGTACAAAGGAACGGAGGGGCATGGGAAGGGCGTCACAAGCACTAATACTTAGATTTTAAGAGAAACTGCTTGTGTAGGATGTACTCCACCTTCTGCCTCTTGCCGATCCTCTCCGTCTTGCTGACAACTTCTGTTAGCTAACGCTGAGCAATTAATAAAACTCTCAAATAGTTGTTCTCACCCCATAGACAGACAGTAGAAGCACAAGCAGGCAGACATGACTATCGCAGAGTCCTACAGCACGCTGAGGGCAAAATTAGGAACAGAGCTGAGATCTCCTGACTCTCAATCTTGTGCTCTGCCTGCAGAGGCTCCAGCCACAAAATTACATGCGAGTGTTTTGAATGAGAGGCAGTGCCCTGCCCTTGGAGAGGGACCCAGAAGGGGGCTCAGAAAAGAAAAGATGAAAGCACGGTCTTCCATGCGAGGAGACTAACCCAGAGGGCAGCCAGGTTCTGCCAGATCCGTTTGGATTAACGAATTTAAGCTAGCTGCCACCACAAAGCCTGGGCCGCAGTTTATGAGACAACGAACAATTCTTCTCTGGGAACTAGTGAATGCTGTATTTCCCAGTTCTCAAGAACTGAATATTCTATAATATCACAGCCAGAATGTACTATTTATTATTCACGCATCATTATATGCGACCATCCCATGCAAACATACCCAAATGCCATCTTTATGATACGCTGGCATGGAGAGAGGAAATAAAAATTCAACGTGGTCAAACTATTCAAAACGTAAGAGACTGTACTCGCATATTACATAATTTTCATGTTAGTCACACATGATTACAAGGGATTTTGCTGGTGTTGGAAGAACCAGGAAGGAGACTTTCTAACCATATTGTACAAATGTATTTGGCTTTCAAAAATAACTGGAATTAAAAATAATTGCATAATAATTGCAACATGTTCTGTAGCTGCTGAGCTAGCATTGCTGGGGTAGTTTAATTTTCCTGGTGTTATTGTTTTTGTGCAAACTAAATTCTCAGCATTAGCTGTATCAGATTAACATTGGCGTGCATGTTTTGTGTCAGAAAAAAAGAGAGGAAGCAGTGCTGGCACGATGGCTGTTCTCAAAGGTAAAACACATGCAAAACAAAGTGGCCAAGGACTGCAGATTAGCAGAGGAAAGTATGCTTCTGGCGATAATCAAGTGTATTTGTTTAATAACAATACTTGCCACTATTACAATAACGACCTAAAGTTTTGAAGTGCTCATTTCCTCCCCGCACTGTTTGCCACTTTAGAAGGTGTGGATATGGTTGGAAATGGAGAAGATAAGAGCAATCGCAGAGATGAAAGCGGGGAGACCTTCTCAGCGGGGAACGCGGGTTGTGGTGAGTGGGACCAGCAGACAAGCATGACGCTGAGGGAGGATGGCCAGCAACGCGGGCAGGGCTGTCATCGTGGGATGGTAGGCAGAGGCTCACCATCTCACTTCACAGGACAATTTGTAGACTAAGCGTGCAGAGTTCCTCACACGGGTGAAGGCAGCCGTGATCTTTTTAGTTAGATAGAGGTGGTTTGCCATCAGCTTGCCAGCAGACTCCACAAAGGACGCTCCAGAGGTTGAGGGGTTTGGCCTACAGAGAGAAGAGACTTCTGGAGCACGTCCAGTGAAGTAGTGCCTTGGCACAGCTAAAAAGCCCACCATGTGACTTTCTAACCTCTACATTCCTGTGTAACCATGCACTACACCAGCCTTTAATTTGGTTGTTAGAGAAGAAGTGCCCCACTTCTTCCTTCTGAAGCAGCCCTTCCTGCCTAGGGGTCCAAGACAGGGGAATGTGATGCACGGGGAAGCTTTGGGGACAACTGCAGCCCTGGACTTCTCTCACCTTCTTGCTGAAGCACCTGCGCTCCTTGAAGAACTTGATGCATTTTCTGCCCCCCCTCAGCTTTCTCCTGAGGAGAGCAGCAGGCGCCCGGCGGCGGACGGGACCCGACACCCACCTCCCCACACACCCTTCCCACCCACACCCGGCCCTGGGCGAGCAGGGCGAGCAGGGCGTTAAAAGGGGAGGATAGAAGCTGAGCCCTGCCAGACCGTGC